AAGCTTGGTTGACATAGGCTGTTGTTATTCTCGCTGCACTTCTTCAGTACTGTAGTTATGTTGGTCTGGAGGAGTGTGGTATCAAGTGCATTCTGTGGTAAATTGTACTTCTTACAGCCCATGTGATTAGACGCGGGGGCAGCGGATGTTGCTAGATAAAGATTATTGTTCAGTGAGGAAAGAATAAATATTTGACTTTTTCTATCTACCCATGGCACTACGAACTTACTCAGTTTCTATTACCTACAGATGCAGTGATTACGTTATACCTGCAGATTTGGTCAGCGTGTGTCGGCTCCATACGCCCCAATTGGTCTGACTGGTATAGCACTACAAAGAAAGGGAGAATAAGTTGAAATATACTTATTCAAATCAGCAAGGCGTTGCGGCTAGCGAGTGAATTACGTGAATTTAATGCAGCTTTCAGATCTTACACGGAAGGAATGTTGGGCGCGACAGGGCTGTTGAACAACCATTCACATCAGCTGTCGGGAGCCGTGATTGTGATACGAGCGTACTAGAGAGCCGCGCGTAATATGGGCGTCGCAGAGCAACTCTCAATGGCTATTCAGCCCGATTTAGTTGAAGGCAATAAAACTACACCTGGCTCCCTCACACAGGTAACGAACGAGTCCAGAACGATGAAAAAAAAATCATCCCTAACTTATTCGATAGCGATCAAAAGTGCAAAAATAATTTCATATTGTAAATGAGAAAAACAGTAGAAAAGAAGACGAAGCTAGTGTAACCAATCATAAATAAAAAAGCTAGTATAAACCAACCATCTTACTGGTTCAACGATCCGACGCACTTTGTTTTTATTATTACATACCAAGAACGTAAGCATCAAATCAAGGCTTCTAGGCGTTACCGAACCAACCGAGTTTTATTCATATCTTTGAAAAATAGAAAGGAAGCGAAAAAATAAAGGCACGCTAATACCGTAGTCCCTCAATATTGAGGGACAATGTAGCGCTCTGAAGCACGAGCGTTGTTTCTACGTGGGTACAAGTGGCTTTCCCGCAAGACATTTGAACCCAAGATGGCGTACTTTGGCGCAACTCTGCTACCTAAAGTTGGCATATAGAGTAACTCTAGCGTCGCCACACTGTCATGACGGGGCGAAGCGCACTGATGTGTTCATCTCCCATGCGTTACATTGCCCCGCGATGAGGTGGCATTAGACGCTAAGGCACGTGCGCGCTTATCTCGAAGTGGGGAGAACCGTACGCATTGGTCTTTCATCGGAACGATTCTGTTGTATAGTTACCGGGTGCACAAAGGTCACTACACTCACTGCACAGTCTCCGTTTGCGAAAAGAGCGTGCTTTTCAGACCCAGCGAAATAGCAACTGAGACACTTATTCGCGTTCGTCTGTACATAATAGCCTGTTTGGTGCGTCATTTTTGCGTGAGAAACGTGGGGCACATTTTTATCTGCTTGCCCTTCTTCACCTGATATTCCAATTTGTTTCCATTGCATTCATCGCTTCGCTTTTGTGGTGAAGCTGTGACTTTTTAGTGGCATGCAAACCCTGTCATTCCATAAATACTGCTATTGTGTGCTCACAGAATCCCACACAATTGTTCTATTCGGTGATAGGGCGTGGACGACAAGCACTGAAGAGGGGGGCAGTGCTTACATGGGCTTTGGGAAAAGGTGATCCGTCGCTGGATGAACTGGGCGTATATTTTCACTGTATTTGCAGTGTATTTTGGAGTGTACTTGCATAGCTGAGCGTGTATTTTGCATTGTTTCGCCACGAAATCAAAGGAAGAAATGCTGCAGCATCAAATTGCAAGCTGCTGGACACTCATCTCATGCAAAAACACACGTGAAATGAGTATACATAGCACGTGCACGGACAAACAACTGTCTCAGGTCTACACTTAAAGCAGGCTGCTCAAACAAAAAGAAAGCCGCCTGAAACGAACGCAAAAGTACACAGAAGACGAGCACAAACTCTCACAATTCCTGCTTCATGTTATGTGAGCAGCGTGCTCCATACGTAGACGTGACCCTAGCAGTGAGCGAATTGACCTTCGTGCTCTGCAGCATCACGAGTCTGATCTTATAAGCGCACGGGCAGAAGAAACGGTCTCTGCTCGCTGCGTCGTGGCGTGCGCTCAAAGAAACACGAGAAGCACCGAACGCTAAGCCCAACGCGAGCTCGTTGTGCCATCCCTCTGCTGATGACGAAAACACGAGAAAGCTAAGGCGCTCTGGGGGTGTCAATGGTATATCGTTTATATAAATGGCTTGCCGTTAGCATGTGTGAGAACGTACGCTCCGTGGTTTAGTGGCTTGCGTCGCGCATTGCCAAGTGGGTGGTCGCTGATCCGACGCCGCAATTTCTTCTCGTTAATATGATTTGCAATATCTATGTATATACTTTATTACGTCATATCCGTGACGGCAATACGTCATTGGAGCCGTGTTGAACCCCGGAGGAAAACACTTTTGTGTTAAAAAGTAGACAGCTCCACCACTGTGAAACCTGAGAAATTAAGTACGTAAACACGGCCACCCAACGATTCCCAATCCCACAGTTTGCACTACTCTGTTTACCATAATCTAGATGATAATGATGTTTGAAGTAAACACGTCAGGGTTTTTCCCGGCACGAGTGCTATCTTGTTAGGGAGTAGCTGGATGTCTGGCATGTGCGCTACTTTTTCCTGTAGTGCTTTATCGACTTCGTGCAAGCGATGGGACGTGAGATACGCGTCGTCTGCGCCGAAATTTTTCAGGTTGTTTCCCGCAGAAATTTAGCGAGGCAGCACCGCAGAAGCGTAGGCGAAGGAACATTCACTCGCTTGGCGTGGTTCCAAGCCAGCCGAAGGTCTTTTATATGCTTTCAGTGTTAAGTTAGTCATTGCCAGGACTTCTCGGTTATTTCTCTTAATTGTATAATTTAGACCTTGTTCTTCAATTTCACTTTGTATTGGGTAGTGAAAGCCTTCTTAGAGCCTGTATTGAGCTTTTTAAATGCGAAACGTTTCTTAGGGAGCTTCGGTGAGTTTTATAATATTTGTCTATGTCCTATAGCTCTCCTATGAACTATAGCTCTCCTAGCTGTTTGGATATTCGGATCTATACAAAAATTAGTATGGTAAACATGACTGTACGACGAGAATAAGTGACTAGTCATACCAAAAAAATATGACATGGATGTCATGATTTACATGTCGGGGGCTTGCTGTTCCTGCAGTGGTTTTGTTCACATGACGTATCATGAAACTGGTATTGTATGACATGATTGTATGGCGAACATAAGTGAATGGCCCTCGCGTGGAAATCATGACATACGTTTCATGTAAGAGCATTACTACATGCCACTTTCATGATGCGCTCGCGGTCATTTCGCTAGCTTCACATACACTAAACGGTATTACGTGAAGTGAATGATTGGTGAATCTATATGACTGGTGCAAACATGATAATCATGACGTGCGGGTCATGTAAGAACATAACTACTTACCAAGCTCATCATGCGCTCGTGGTAGTTTTGTGGCTTCACGTACGCAAAGTTTGGTATTAGGTGACGTGAATAAACGATGAAGGTATGTGACTTGTGTAAACATGATAATTGTAACATGCGTGTCGTGTAAAAAACATGACTACATACCAAGCTCAAGGTGCGCTCAAGGTCATTTCACTTGCTGCACATATACCAAATTTGGTAATAAATATCATGAACGGATGAAGAAGGTGAATGACACGTCCAAAGATGATAATGATTACAAGCGTTTTATGTAAAACGTGACAACATGCTGCGCTCATATTGCGCTCACAGCCATTTCGCTAGCTTCACCTATGCCAAATTCGACGTTACGTGAAATGAGTGGATTGTGAAGGTATATGACTGGTGCAAACATGTTTATTACACTATGCGTGTCATCTAGAACATGACTACATACCACGCTATAATGTGCTCGCCATTGTTTTCCTAGCTTCACTTATACCAAATTTGGTAATACGTCTGGCGAATAGACGACAAAAATGAGTGACGCGCCCAAACATGATAGTGATTACATGCGTGTCACGTAAAACATGACTACATGCTACGCTTATAGCATGGCTGGGGCCATTTCGCTAGCTTTACCTGTACCAAATTTGGTATTACGTTACGTGAGTGGACGACTGGGCACAAATTCTAGGCGCAAACACGATAATCATGCCATGTACGGCGTAGTTTACGTTCGCCTCGTGAAGCTGTGCTAGTTTTAATATGACAATTGATCCTTGATTCGTACTTCACATATCATCGATTGCCCCTGTACGTGGCATCCACCGATTTCTTACTCTAAATGCTATCCTGCCATATCAGATGCGTAGATAGACTACGAGCAGCGATTTCAAGCTGTTTAGCACCTAAATATTTTAGGTTCCCTTATTCGGAACATCCACAATATCAGAAATGTATGCAATGCTCGGTGCTTTTTCTATTCATACGTCGACAGTCAGTTCCTGTGGCAAGCCTCACTACCAGTTTCAAATAAATCAGCTCAGTAAACAAAAGTACCACGCTGACAAACAAATTATAGGAGTACGTACACCATAGCAAGATACATAAAACACAACAAAGCATCGGAGACACCTCATCTGGTTTTCCAATACATCCTTAATCAACCGACTTTTGACAAAGCCATGATGACTTGAGCTGACATCATCTTGTGACGTTACGTCACGTCGCGTCACTGTGAGTTCATGATTAACTCACAATAACGTCACAAGTCTTGGTGATCAGAGCCGTCAAGAAGATTTCATGAAGGGATCACTATTTTTGCCTCACTCGTATTGACTCTGCCAACGTGGGACGTTGGTCAGTTTTCACGTTTGAAGAGGTACCTAAAGCTTTAGCCTGAATAGTTTCCGGAGCCCTCCCCTACGGCGTCTCTCATAAACTTATGGTGGTTTTGGTTTTGGGACGTAAAAGCCGACGTGTTAGGAAATGGTTCTCACTTATGACACAACTGTTTTGCATTGATTTTTACAGGTGTGCGAAGCCGTTCGATCTTCCATCGACCAGTTATTCCCCCCCTCCTCCGGGGTCGAAATCATCGGCGAACCAGGGCAGTTTTTTGTCACCTCTGCATACACTCTGCTAACCAAAGTGGTCGGCAAAAAAACGAAGGAGCTTGTGATTGATGGTAGGTTCATTCCTATTTTTTACGCTTCGCATGCGTCTCTTATATTTCCCACCGTAGTCAGTAGAGTAAGCACGGAAATTAGAAACGAGAACAGCTTTTCACACTATGGCTTATCATGTCTGAGAGGACTAAACCATCCACTTAACGCTAATACTTTTATTACCAAAATAAGGCACTTCTTAACTCCATACAATAATCAAACAAGGTCACCTTTTCATTTGTAAAGGTCATTACAGTAATTGGTGATGAGTTGGCAGATGAGCTTGCCACTAAAGATTTTAGGTCCGGTACAGCTATTACAATAGCCATAACAAAGCGATTTATTAAAGTCCAGGTAAAAAAACACAAAATATTGAAAGGCAATGTAGAAAACACAGGGTAAAAAATGCCAGCCCATGATCGAATCAAAAGCACAAATCAAATAACGCGTTTTCCAACAAAAGTTTATACAAACCAACAATCAAGAGTGCACGGATGATTTCCGTTTCACTTGAAAGTTTTTAATGAAACAAACAATGTTTATATTCGCTAAAAAATTCACAGCGATACCGCAAATGCGAAGCAATGAGTGCGACAGCACCAGATTGGAACATCACGCGCAGAATGTCAAGCAGATTGAAACGTGCCCCGCATTTCTCACGCACAAATGACGCACGAAACGTACTGACAGATGCAGATGAACGCAAATAAGCGTCTCATATGTTACTACGCTGTGTCTGAAAAGCGCATCCTTTTCGCAAACGCAGACTGTGCAACGATTGCAGGGATCTTCGTACGCACGGTAACAACGACAGAATCGTTCCTATGAAAGTCCAACACCAGCCATGATATACGATTTCCCCACCGTGACATAAAGGTGGGCGAATGAGCGTCACCCCCCTCCTCTCCGTGGCACAAGGTACGCGTGGGAGATGAGAGCGCCCGCCGCTGCGTCGTGACAATGTGGCACGCGTGCTCATTGCGTCATCTTGCTCATACTGAAAACAAGATAGTTCCCCCACAAGATTCCCGTCAGTAGCGATAAGTGGTATATATAAATAGCTTGCCATTTTAACGTTCAAGGAGGTGCTACTTCGTCAATCAGTGGCTAACGCCTCAAACTCACATTTCGGAAGTCCAATATTAGATTCCGCGTGCCGCAGTCTTTTCCTGGACTATTTTTCTTTCTTGAATTTTCAAATAATCAGATACGTATACATATACGTTAAGTGAAGCCAACGCCGGCGGCAAAATCCAGCCGAGAGTGTCCATATATAGTTGCTATCACACTAAAATGCTACAAATATCGACCATTTTCTAACTACATGTAAAGCTAATTCAAACTTAACAATAAATTCGGCACAACCACCCGAAATATTTTACACCACATCCCCAATTAGTAAAAGACGTTCTCCTCTCGACAACATTTGATGCCATCATAAAATGCTTCAATGAATTGATGCCAGACTCATTGTCAATAAGAAAAATTGCAACGATCTACGAATTGTCTTGACAAGCTCGAAGTGTGATCAAGCCCCGCCGCGGTTGTCTAGTGGCTAAGGTACTCGGCTGCTGACCCGCAGGTCGCGGGTTCAAATCCCGGCGGCAGCGGCTGCATTTCCGATGGATGCGGAAATGTCGTAGGCCCGTGTGCTCAGATTTGGGTGCACGTAAAAAAATCCCAGTTGGTTAAAATTTCCGGAGTCCTCCACTACGGCGTCCCTCATAAGCATATGGTAGATTTGGGACATTAAACCCCACAAATCAATCAATCGAAGTGTGATCAAGAGGACGAGGAGGGTCCTACTCCTCACTTGCAGCATAGAACAGACATGTCTGTTGTCTATGAAAAACATTTACCAAAACGTGCACCACCAGCATATTCCACAGCAACCACCCTTAACCAAATTCTGCAACTTCCCCGAAGAACTTCAGAATATTCAGAAAGTCAACAGCGCCCGAAGACATTTCCACTTCCATGAATCAAAACACCAAAACCTGCAACTTAAGAAAATACGTTTCTCGCCTTTTTATAGTTATTTTCCTTTTGTATTTATTTTATGTTGTTTATTCTTTTTGATTCTCCTCTCCTTCTCATCAAAATTCTTTTGGCTTGTGCCTTCTTCATTTACATTTTTAGATGCAAAGTAGCTCGTTGAATAGCCTGTGTAACGCTGTCCGTTCTTGCCTCCGTGCCGACGCGCCGCACCGCACTTCCCCGCGAAGGTGTTGGGGCGGTGCGAAATTCCAAGTATGTCACACCTTTCCTTGGTGACGTCACTCTCTCCCTCGCCTGCCGCGCGCTCGCAGCGTGCCACCTTTTTCGCTTCACTCTCGCCACCACTGACGACGTTCGAGGACACATCGAGTGAACACTCTTTCGGCTCGTTTATCTGTGAGGGACAGGACACCAGAAAGCGAAGCTCTTTCGCCCACCGCATTATGTGCCGAAGCGGTTTGGCCTAACCCGGCCGTTGCCGGCGTTCTGAGACTTAGCAGAGCAGATCGCGTTCGCAAATGGCGACGTAACGCCTGCGTAACGACGAACGCAGGCTTCGGCAGTGGACGACCAACGACACCGATAAGGTGTGAGTCAAGCACGCCGATCGCGTTCGAAAGTGAAGACGGTGCGCTGGTAACACTGACGAGACACTAGCCAAAGTAGCTGAGCAGAAGTTCTAATAACGGAAGGCCAAGGCCGGTGAATCGCCCCGTCACGGTGGTCTAGTGGCTAAGGTATTTGGCTGCCAACCCACAGGTCACGGGATCGAATCCCGGCTGCAGCCGCTGCATTTCCGATGGAAGTTGAGATGTTGTAGGCCCGTGTGCTCAGATTTGGGTGCACGTTAAAGAACTCCAAGAGGTCGATATTCCTGGAGCCTTCTACTACAGCGTCTCTCACAAAAAGTGGTTTTGGGACACTATACCCCACATATCAATCCATCAATCAATCAATCAATGCCGGTGACTCGGTGATATTGTCATTGTCGGTAGCGTCATTGGACGTCGCCGACAACGTTTGGAAAACACCGCTTGCTCTCTGCCGAATCACTATGCGCGACGATGCTACTACGCATCCCATCATGGTTTCCTTTGGGCAGATGTCGTTATTTTTTTATTAGTTGACGGCCGTTTTAATTGTGGTACGGACTGGAGCACTTTCATTTATTTGTTTTGCTCCACAATAAATGTGTGTATTTATGTTCCTTGAATAGTGATAGGCTCCACAGGAGCATCAACTGGTATAAGCAAGGAGGCCGCACGTGGTCGTCACAATAAAACGTGGAAAGAAAGAGTAAAGAAAGTTATACAAACAAACTACCGGCTTCTGGCTGCTCATTGCCGGGTTTACCTGTAGGAAATTATGAAAGAGAAGCCGATTCAGTACTCTAACGTCTTAAACTCGTTTGTACAAGTTTCCATAACAAAAGGTAAACAGCTCTAGGATTTTGTCATTTTGGGCAGATTTCTATTGCAAGATTACCAGTCGAAGTATGCCGTTCTTTCTCTCTTGTTTCTATTTTTTTCAGGACTGGCCCACACACATGAAAATGTGTACATAAATGAAAGCAAATACAATGTCATTCCTCGGGACCTTTACCAGTTTATGGACATTTGCTACCGTCCACTTGATGTAAGTGAACTTCATTCCCGTGTGTTTAAACTACCACATATACGGGCGTATTTATTCACAGAGTCATCTTCCTTTATCAAACACTAGCTCTATGTAAGAACAAAGTGCTAAAGGCTTCAGATTTATGACTTTTCTTTTCTATGTCCACATGCTTTGCACTACACTTATCGTTGTCATTACAAACATGCCTCTTACTTGCAAGTGCTCTAAAGGCTGCGGTTTCGTTTCAGCCAACCTTTACATAAATGAAGAGAAGGCGGCCTTAGCGTAGTTGTGATGCGTCGCATACTGAGAGTGGAGATGGTGCTTAAAAGTGCATTCTTTCTCTTTGTGAAAATGGCTTTGTGAAGTATGTCATTATTTTTGTGCTGCTTTCCCGTAAAGTCCAATATTGCCAAATATATTCGCGATGTCCTTTTGTAGAACTACTAGTTAGATTGGCTTAGTTTGAATTATGAAAAATAAAACAAAAAACAAACAAAAGGCAAAATAAAACAAAATTGGTTTAAGGGACATTTACAAAGGCTACCCCCACCGGCTCGTGCCTACCGGGTGGGGTTAACGCTGCCACTGTGGTACATCAACGAGCAAGCTTCCACTGAAAAACTTGCAAGGATGAAAACCTTTAGATTGCCAGACGCAAATTTGGTGGAGAAAAGTTCCCCCATAGACTTCGTAAGTGCAAAAAGGCTGCAGTTGGACTTACCCAAGAAGCCACTTCCGAGTAGCTGACGCCAAATTATTAGTACGTAGGCATAGTTTTCACGAGACGGTTAGGCAAATTGAAAAATTCGACGTCAACACATCTTAGAATTCTATTTAAGACAATATTTGCGCCACATTTGCGATAACCGCTGTGTGTAAGTGCTTCATATTACTCTGCATTCTGAGTAAAATGAAAACCGGATGACATCCCATCAATAACTGAATGCCACCCATTCGGTCGGGTCATGGGTGTAAAAAAAAAAAAAGACAGGTGAACCTGAATGCGGAAATCGCAAGTTATGTGACGACCTCTTCACACCTAGTGACCATATTATTTTCACGTGACTTGCATTGGAGCGTACTAGTACGGGAAAATGGGAGAATTCGTGTCGACTGCCCTCAATTTTTTTATTTCACGTGTGTATATACAGGCGCACGAACTGCCTTCCCCTACTCGCTGCAAAAAAAGAAATGTTTGGTTGGCTACGCACCACCCTGACCACGCCGCTCTCGCCACCTAAAACCGAAAAAAAAATTTGAAGACAAAAAAAACGAAGCATCAATACGTCATTCAAGCGTCTCTGGAGAACACCATCTACCGGTTAGGTACTATTTCGCCGCAACACTAAACTCAGAGACTTAACTCAGCCACAAGAACGACCGCTCAATCTCACCTCTTTGGTGTGGCCCGCCAAACGCTTTTGCTTCCTGTGAGAGCGCTACATCTCTTTCAACTCGGCTCATCGGCTGTGCCACTAGCTATCAGCGACGGAGGTGTTTCTCCCAAAGCTCTTTTCAGCCACAGTGAGCTATCTGCGCCAGCAGTTTCATGTGTTTCGGATAAGTGTGCTTTGTCATTCTTCGCTGCCAGACGCTCTCATGAACGGGCTACATCACTTCAGCTGGATTAGTGGCCGATGATTGAGTGATACTTGTTAGCGCAAGGAATACGATGAACACTGTAAAGAGGACAATCCTGGCCGTGGCGGTTGAAGCCCGTGCACTGTGTGATGTCACTGCACGTTAAACAACACCAGATAGTTAAAAATTTCTTACGCCCTCCACTTCAGCGTGACTCATAATTGTCTGGTTCTTGCACGTAAAACCCCGATATTATTATTATTATCATTATTATTATTATTAGGAAGGGGGATATTTAATGTGGCTATGTGGTTGATTCGCTGCAATTTAGAATTCTTATGAGCTTAATAAAGCTAGTTTAATTCAAAATTACTGCTGAGTACTGACGATAGTGGTATATATGTGTAGACTTAATGCGCAATAAAGATTTTGGGCTGTTCTGGTGACATGAAAACATTGGAGAAAAAAAGTTGGCTGTTGGAACAGGTTCTGCGATATTGCCAGTACCAAAAAACACTACGTTTGTCTCAGTATTTATATATAAAAAACTCCGCATGCTTATCAGATGTGTGCCGTGAGGCCGCTGTTGTGCGCGAAGTGAGGGAATCTCTAATACTTCTGCGGTACTATGTCAAAGCCAATTACGCACACTAATTAGCCCAACAATAAATTTTTCATATGAATATGGTTCTCCATACACGCGCTCTATATCCAGGCGGTGAGCTTGGCGGTCCAATTGAAGCAATCAGGAAGCACAAAATCCTCGTCTTGCTCTCGCTAGTACGACCAAGGGTGTAGGCAGAACTATTTTTCGGGGGGAGGGGGGCTCCTGTTTGAAGTGTGCTTTATTTGCTCTATATGCCATAACGAAAAAATTTGAGGGGGAGGTGTGCGCGAACCTGGTGTGCCACCCCCTGGCAGCACCACTACGTACGGCAACTCAACATTACCATAATTATCTTGTTGTTAATAATTATTACGTACTAACTTCTAATTCAGTATCAAGTAAATAGCTGAGGTAAATGTGCGCGTATTTTATTTATAATTGTATACTTACAGCATTTATTTGCGCGCCATGACATATTTATTTCCGTGACATTTTTCATTAATTGTGTAGTAGAAATCGAATAGTTACCTGTAATGACAATTTTTGTGAATGTATACTGATCTCCTTTATTTGCGTATTGTGACTTATTTATTTCCAAGACGTAAATGTAGGTATAATGTGATTTGGACTGTTACAAACAATGCTTTTTTTCGTAAATAGTCTCACATGCACATAAATTATTATACAAACTTTGCAAGACTTCACAGATGTAAGGCTTTGCGGGAAAGCGGTTTCCGACAAAGTCTGAGTATGTTTTCAAGCGAGCTGCTGGGAACTACCTCCGTTGCCAGAAATTTACTTAGTAGCTTCTCGATAAAAAGAGTGGACCTTTAAACCAAACAGCAGTCCGGAACAACAAAATGGCATCACTTGCTGAACGCATGACTAGGGACAGGAATCTCACAAAGTAGGGAGTATAAGTGATATTTCACCTTCGCGCGACGCAGTGCAAGCATGTGCAAGGGTGGTTACCTCACCGATCTGCAGCACCCTCACTACCCGTCATGGCCGGTCTGTCAACTTTTGCTTTGACGCGCGCTCTTTTGTTCAGAAGATGACTCTGCAGGCCGAACCAAAAGAGGGGAATCGAGCGGCCTTGCCACAAGTAACGCTGTAGCATTTACACCCTATAGGAATTTCCAAGGCACCTGCATAGCTTTTTTTTAATGAACTAACACATTCATACCAAGGTTTGTTATGCTGGAATGGGGTTCTAGAGGTATTATTTTTAAAAAATACTCCCTACCTTCTCACGTTCCTGTATTATTCTTTATAATTATCGAAGCCGTGATAGAAGCTCAAAAATCTAAATGCCTCCCTATATGCGCGCTTTCTGATCAAGATTCGTGGTTTAATGCACGCATGGCTGCCGCAATTGTTCGGAAAAGAAGACAGTAATACTAATAGTTGTGATTTTACGTCCCGAAACCACAATATGACTATGAGAAACGATGGTGTTGAGCGCTGTATTATTTCATGCAGTATATGCGAAAGGGAGAATGTGGTCAGAAGCATTTTAGGCAGTGGTACAAATTTCCACGAAAAAATTCTAGATTTCCTTGTCAGCCATATTCCCATTTTTAAAGAAAACTGAGCAGTGCCTTTTTAGATTGTAACTACAAACGTTCGCGTCAACAGCAGATGTTCGTACTTATCAGCAACAGCATCTTCTGCCTTAAATATTTATTTTATATTTTGATTCGCAGTACAAATGCAAAAAACATTTATGATTCAATGCAGTCAGTAGTTTTTATTACGGTGAAATTTCCATAAATCTGTAAAGAACGTAAGATGACAAAGTACCCTTACAAAAGTGCAAATTCGAGTGAGGCCTTGTATGTGTTATTTTACTGTTCTTTTCTCCATATGTGTCGCTGTTTTCATTAAAGTTTCTCGTGGCTACGTGCACAGCTATTGTCTTCTGTGACGATACTATGAATAAGCGAAATTCAGTTCCCGGGGATCTGCTATGATAACCTAAACACAGAAGATACATCTTATGGTACTTAATTCATTGCCGAGGTGAAATCAGTTGCACCAAGCACGAATGAAGTTCTCAAAGGCACAAAAAAGAAAAAAAGTTCTTGGTCTCCAATATACAAAAAAAGATGGGCTACCTCCACCATTATTTGCCTGTTTTTTATCACCTCAAAGATCGCTCTACTAGCATTCGCGAAGGTTTACTTTAACCAATTCTGTTGGACGTGACGCCATGCCTTGTGGCCATAATAATGGGCTGCCTCCTTAAGTGCCACCAAAAAGACAATCGCCTGTAGAACTATGATTACAAGACACATGCGCCGTTCCTGTCTGCCTAAAAGCCGCCTTGAAAAAGTTAACCAAAGCCAGTATTGAAAAGCGAAATCCACGATACAAAAGTATACGTGATAACCGAGTGCCGACAACTAAATACGACCGGGACAGCGCGCTTGATTTAACATAACTCTGTCGGTGAGAGCTAGAACAGCACTTAAGAGCCGCCCCGCCGCGGTGTTCTGTAGTTGGCTAAGGTACCCGGCTGCTGGCTTGCAGATTGTGGGATCTAATCCCGGCTGCGGCGGCTGAAATTTACCATGAAAGCTGTTATAAGATCAAAACTGCTGTGACATGCAGCGATTTAGTTGTCCGCTGCCGCCACTGGTATCCGTAATCACTGTCGTCCAAAATAAGAAATAAAAACTAGTACCAAAGACCCAATGGGGCTCCAACCCAGGTCCACTTCGTGCGAGCCCAGTATTCTACGACTGAGCTACGCCAATGCATGGAACTTGATCGCAAAGTTGCCTTAGAGAGGCTTGATGTCGGGAAAGGAATTGCTTTAATATTG